TGCGTGTCGGGGTGGGAGTCGTGCGGCGCGCCGGCGTACGCGCGCAGTGTGAGCGAGTGCGAGCGCGGGGAACGCGGGGAGCGCGGGGAGCGCGGGGAGCGACGTGCCGCGCTCGCTGACAACGCACGCGCGCTCTCCCTGGAGCTGGACAAACAGCAACCTGCACCATCCAATATTACTGGTACTTTGCTATTACATTACAAAAAAACATTATTGAAAAATACATTTTAAATTACAGTTTTTAAGGAGTGTTGTCGAAAATAAATTGCTTCATTAGTGAAAACGTTAATCCCATAGTTAAATTATATTATTTTGTAGGAAGTGGAAGAAGAAATAGAGATTTCACCGCGAAGATACTCATCGTTTGGCTAGAGGACTTCGAGGATCATCTGAATCTACCAGTCGGTGAGTTTATATTTTTCAAACATGAGTGTATTTTCATGTAAATTTGTGGTGTATTTGTATGTATGTATGTGTTGCGTGTTCGCAGATGATCTGCTGCGGTACTGCGAGACGGGCGTGTCATGGCGGCGGCAGGAGGTGAGCGTGGTGTGTGTGAGCGCGGTGCGGGGCGGGCTGGTGCGGGTGCGCGTGCCGGCGCCGGCGGGCGTGCTGGCTGACGGCGCGCTGGTGGCGCCGCGCGCGCTGCCCGCCTGCCTGCGCCGCGCCGCCACACATCTCGCCCGCCGCACGCGACTCCAGGCAGAGCTGTGAGTTATTCCAAACGAACTTAACTTGTCACCGTTAGATGGCGAAAGTGTCGAAATAAAAATCACCTTTATTTTTAAGTACATTTAAATTTAAAATCTTCATCTTCATCTTTTATCTTTGACAATGTTTTTTTTAATTTATTTTACCTATTATGTTTTCTATATATGTGTGCGTATCTATTTAAATATGCGTGTATACATAACACAGGTATCAGCCGCCGCACGTCCGCCGGCGGCACATGATCCAGGAGATCGCGCAGCAGTACCGGCGCGACCTCACCGAGCCCGAGCTGCTCGAGTCGCTGTTCCGACCACCTGCATAACATCTCTAATATCTTACATTCCCAACATCTATTTCCACTGATGAGGCAACGACCGACAGATATAGCACCTTAGTGGAAACAAGGTCTAAGACCATATCATTTTGACTGAAGCTATGGAGAACTACAACTAGACAAAATAGTTGCTAAATAATGTTGAAAATAATTTGTTCGTTCAACTTTCGAATATTACTGATATTATTTAAACTTAATCTGCTTAGCAGCACATGTTATATAGTTTAATCATATAAGTATTATATTTATTTCAAACACAAAACTAAAATAACAATTACTCACAGATGGTAAATTCAAATTAATTTTCGTTAGTTCTTGAAGTCGTCATGTAATGTTCTAGTATTATAAGTCTAGTTTCTTCTAGATCTCAATGTCTGTTTTTTTTTGTTTTTATCCTATTTTATATAATGTTAACATTCCTTGTTAATTTTTGAAATCATCTCAATTTTTAATGTTTTACTCATATATCTCCACTATTTATATCATTCCAATTGAAAATGTATATAGTTTTAAGTTGCACAGTACTTAATATATTTATATAATAAAATTAATAAATTAAACATCAACATAATGTTTTATTTCAGACATGCATCGTGTCTATGTAAAATTGTAGAACAATACATTTTATAGCGCTCGAGCAATTCCTTTGACTGCCATAGTTATTACACGACCATTTTAAGACGCAGTTTTAGTAGTCGTTTACTCGGACGTTAAGGTCAGGGAATCCCAGCATACGAATTAACAACCAATTAAAGTCATCCATCGTTGCAATCACGGCGTACGGGATCTCAGTTGACCAATTCTGTGTGGGTTAACGAAACGCCTGTGGGCAATAACGTTTAATAAAAATGCGCATTTAGTTTCAAAAGATGACGTAGTTATATACTCTATGTGGCGCAAAAGCCAGGTAGTAAAAACTCGCTCTGTGATTGGCTTCCGCGTTTCTCGCGCCAAGGACACTGTCAATTACAAATACTGAGGAGACTGAATTGATGGTAACACTGTAGCTCTTGTAATTAATATATTCGTGCATCGTACTGTTGTTTTATTATTGTTGGTGCTATTATCAACGCAGTTAAGGTACATGGGAATCCGTTTACTGTTATGGGTTTTCTTAGTTAGGTTTAAGATATACCCATGAACGTAAATGTCAATAACGTGAAGCAACAATAATAAAACGCATATTTTGCTACGCACGAAATATATTAAATTAAAGGAGCACGGTATTACAATTAATTCACTCTTACTATTTTGTATGCGACGTATCGTGTTCGCGCCTTGTCTCTCTGGCGAGAAAACGCGGGAGCCAATCCCAGTTCGAGATTTAGCTCCCAGGCTTTTGCGCCACACCACCCCCCCACGGAGAAGGTAAACCCCTTAATAGGGAGTTTTAATCTTAACTTTTCTACCAGACCGCGTGGTTACGACAGGGGCAGGTTTAGTGTCGGGTGGCACAGTTCGAGTAGCTACACGGTTCGATGAAGCATCCGGTACGGTATTAACATGCTTGTCCGGAGGTGAAGGATATTCATCTTTTTCGAGATACGCTGGTTTCACCCGATCCAAACTCACCGTGATATTTCTATCACCTACAATGATGGTAATAGTCTTGGTGTTTCTATTGACCACTTTAAATGGCCCGGTGTACGGTGGTTTGAGGGACGGTCGTGTCGTATCATCGCGTAAAAACACGT